GACATATTTAGAGTATTCTGCATTTTATTTGTATTTGTTGTGTAGGTATATTCGTTTTACTTTTCAAATTATAAAATTTTGGGAATTAAATTTATTAATGTACATGCTTGCATTGCACAACTATACAACCTACTGGAATTATATATAAATGTTAATAGACGTACAGATAATAGAATGCGCAATAAACGTTGGTGAATCTCGGGATATCAAGTTTATTGAACCAATTTTTATATTTTAGCTACATTTTTTATCCATACAAGGCCCTACTTTACTTCAACCGAAGAATTTGACTCAGTTTTAAATAAAACGGTCCTAGTAAGAATTCATGCAATTTCAACATGGTTTCCTTTTGACCAAGATGAATATTATTGGACGGTTGTTATTTTCCAAACCTTTTTTGAATATGTATTTACTACTACTATGATGAGTGTTGATATATTTAATTTTAGGTAAGTAAAAATAATTTAATTTTAAATATACTTCTTAGATTTTATTAATTATCAAGTCAAATAATTATTTATTTACCAAATGATCACCGAAAGAACACAATGCATGAGAATTAGCCAACACCCATATTAGACACTCAAGGCAACTCACTTCATTCTGCCTTGGGAGGTGTCAACGGTACTTTGCTACCGCAAACACAGCTTATACAATACAGCTCCACAACTCCGTGTCGGCGTCTTTGATCTGGCGGTCGAAAACCAAGCAAGACGGAATGGTGCTATCTCTGTTAGATTCGAGGGAAAAGTCGGGCCCGGATTAAACAATTTTTTTATTATTGAAAAAATTGAAAACCTTGGTGTAATAAGGTTGGTTACATGCCATATTAAGTAAGTTTTGAGAAATTAAATTTTTAATTTGTTTTAAATCTGTCAAATATAATTAAAAAAATTATTTAAATATAAATATTACGAAAAATAGCACATCTTTTAGAGGTAAAATAATTTGTATGTGGCTAGTAAAATCCTCGTTAACAAATGTTTTGAGCTAAAACAGTCACTTCACGACAAATTGTGGCTTGGATCCTTTTTACACCAAGGGCTTCAATTGTTAAAGAATTTTGTCACGCTCGTGGATGCAAATCAAGTGGTAACCCGTGTGTCTGGCAAGTGTTACTCTTCGCGCAAAGGGTTTATACCTAGATAAACGAATGCTTCGACTAAGGTCTGGGAACTCTATGGTATTTTGGAATTATAAAGAATTTGTGCTTTTATTTTAACAATATTGGTTATATTTAGATGTATTCTTATTAATTGAAATACAGATTTGTAGAAGTAATACTTTGACAGTTTTTATTAATATACTCGTAATATATTCAATTTTTATCTGACCATACCGAAGTAGGGAATTTTAAAACTTTATAGTAATGTGAAATTTGAATTACAATATTACACGAAATTACATAAGTAGTACTTATTTTAGGTAGGTACTAAATTTGTACTTGGAGAAAGTAATATCGATTTTTACAAGAAAACTTGAAAAGTAAATTAATTTAGTTCCTATTTCTGATGTAAAACTTAAACCAAGAAAACAAATGAATAGTAGTTAGTTCAACAAGGGTGGATATGATAGCCATATCACACAAAGACGAAGTTTGAGCACGACGTCGTAGGCGGAGTACTCAATCGTCTGATTGTGATATGAACAATCCACTCGATATGGTCAGTATATTTTTTCTACGACCCAATAACGAAAATCTACAAATTTAAAAAAATATTTTAGGTTATTTAGACAAAATAACTAATTTTAAAATAATTTACGAAGTTGACTAATTTATAAAATAAAATAAACATGAAAAATTAATTAGTCCTCGGCCTAGATTCGATCCCGGGCTTTTCGCGTGGAAGGCAGATGCTCTGTCCTCATCTTCACCAAAACTTTCAGGACTTTAATTTTAATACTCGTAATTAAATTAGTATCATGTAGTTTGATTACAAATTTTTTTTTTTAAATGTGGACACAATAAAAACAAAAATGCTATTATTTATCGAGTCTACACAAAAATTTTAATGTATATTTAATATCAATAACTAAAATATATATTGACAATTAGTTTAACAGAATTGTCACTTATTTAAAAATTTTTAAATAATAGGAGTTGGGTGACCAAAATATGAACGTGATATGTAGATTTAATTTTGTTAAAGTGTTCTCACTACCTAAAATGGATATGAAATATATTTGTAGTTGAACGCAATAGCATACTTTTTTGTTTTGTAGCATGTGCATAGATTGGCTAATATCCATGCACAGATTACAAAACGAAGAAGTATGCTATTGCCTTCAATTAAACGAATATATTTCATATCCATTCTAGGTAGTGAGAACACTGCAAAAAAAAATTCTCCAATCACCGTTCATATTTTGATCAACCGACTGCTATTATTTTTAAAATTTTAAATAAATGACAATTCTGTCAAACTAATTGTCAGTATATTTTTTAGTTATTGAGATTAAACATACATTAAAATAGGTTATTCTTTTGGAAAACGTTAGCATGGATGACTAAAGGGTATTGGGTTAATTAATTCTAAAAGTGTGGTACAAATGTTATTTTTTGTAGCCAATTTTTCAAAATTATTTTGAAATATCTTTTCAATATTGAATATTAGTTCTACAAATTCATCATTTGACAGTTGCAGATTTCCAAATGTATCTGAATTGGCGTTATCATATGCCTTTAAAAAGCAATAAAAAGAAAAATCATCTAATTCAACGTGATCTTTGTTATATTTAAGACAGGTATCACAGGAGTGGATCCGCAAGGCTTTTATTAAAAGGTAACCACACACATACCTGTTAAATTTTTTCTGTAGCAACTCGTCTTTACAATAATTTAGGGTGTTAATAATTTCATCATAAAATAAAATACAAGGTGTTCCATTTAAAGAACATACATTTTAATTTGCCAGGCAAAAACGTGACACCCTGTATATCCAAAGATATTTTTAAAATATGTAGGTATTTTTCAAATCCATATAACTTTTATTTAAAACTTTTTTGCGTGTCTACAACAAAATAATGAACAATAACGCACTAATGGGACACCCTGTATAAATTATATTTTTAACAATGAAAATTTCTTATAATGTGTTACTTATCGGTTTGGGTCCTTGGGAAAACTAAAGAATGTTTTCTTGCAGCTTTTGACTGCTTTTGACTGCACAAACAGAATGATGTCTTTTTTTTCACTCATTCTACTCACAGCTAAAGAGTCACCAAAATAATAACAGTACCTTTAACTCAAACAAAATCAACGAAATTATAGGCTCCACGAAATTATACAATCAACGAAATTATACGCACGACTCAACACCTTACCTAAGTACACTTCTGAACGCCAAAACCATCTTTTCCCTCCGAAGGCGGAGCTTAAGCGATGCGCGACGAAATCGACGCAAACCGTTGCCGCCAAGAGAGTGTTTTAGCTGTATTGTTAAGCTGTGCCGCAAACGTTTCCTCGCACCCCCGCTCTTGACTGCCGTTGTTCTATTCACTACATTACAATGAGTAATCACACAAAAATTTGTTTACCTGCTAACACGACGCTCTCGAAATATTCTCTTTTTTTTATGTATCGACTGGTTATTAATTTGTATTATTTTAATTTATAAAGATATTAAACAAAAAGAAAAGACGTCTCAAATAAAAATAACAAAATTACAAGATTAGTCGCCAAATTCTTTCCACGCCAATTATTTCGAAAAAGTTTCCACCTCTCTTAAGCTAGCAGGACCAACTGGGCAGAATCGATTAAAATCTATTACATTATTTAGTACCTATTTTGTACTAATTTGTACCACCAATAAAAATTTTGTACCATGTGCCGTTTTCAAAAAAAAACGTGGCGCTGCTAGGTTAATATTAAGCTAGATGGACCACATTAAAAAAAATAAAATAAAAAATGAAACAAAAGAAGAACTAAAAAGAAATAAATTTGTACCAATTTGTACCACCAATAAATTTTTCGTACTATGTACCGTTTACAAAAAAAACACAAGGTGCTTCTAGTTCAATATTAGACTAGCAGGACCACATTGAAAAATACAAAGGTACATTTAAAAAGGACTGATTTTGTAACAATTTGTACCATTAAAAAAACCTAATTTATTTATTCAAACTGCCTGAAACAACTTTTAAATTAATCCAAATCTGTTATAATTAAAAAAAAGAGACTTTTTGCAGAAAAAGAATCTATTCCTATTTTTGCATAAAACACAACATAATTTGTACCGTTAAAATATAAATTTTCAGAATATACACCCCTGCCGTTCCTTAGAAACTATCCTAAATTCCTATTCCTCTTAAACAGCAGAATCAATCGTTACTTCTGTAATAAAAGTACGTTAAAATGTAAATTGTTAGATTCTGTACCCTTGCCGTTCCTATAGAAAATAACCTAAATTCATATTAGGCTCAAGAGTAAAGTACCCTTTTGCACGAGCAGAATCAATAGTTACTCCTGCAATGAAAGTAACATAATTTGTACCACTAAAATATTAAATTTCAGATTTTGTACCCCTGCCGTTCCTATAGAAATTAACCTAAATTCATATTAGGCTCAAGAGTACAGAGCTGGGGATGATTCGAATCACATAGGATTCGAATCCAGGATTCGAATCCTTTTTGAGGATCCGAGAGCGGGATTCGAATACTTTAGAAAAAAAGGATCCGTGATCCGGATTCGCAGAGAAAATCCTAAAGGATTCGTATTCGAATCATCAATATCAGTCTCGGGTCCTTTTAGAGACCAAACTACGCCGGCGCAAACGGCCGACTCAAGCTTTGACTTGTCGCGAATTGTAAACTAAAAACTAATACAGACTGATAGCGTTTTCCATTGGCATGCACTAAGTTTGCACTGAGTTCTAGGTTGTCCTGTACCAGTGCACCGTAATATTGCTCTGGGTGTAGGGTCAATGGAACACGGAAAATATGTCACATGTCACTTGTCAAGTCAAAGCTTTTATAAAATTAATAACATCTATAATAACAGAATGGAAGAAATTATAAATTTTAAAATAAACACAGAAAACATTGCTTTAACCCTTCCCAATGAGGATCAAACAGTTATTCATAGACTTAAAAGTAAGTAATAAAAAATAACGCTAAACAAAATATAAATGCTATTTTTTTTTAGGTGAAGACGATTTTGCTGGTAGATACATAATAAATCTTATTAATAATGGTTATTTGTCCTTAGCAGAGCCAGTAAATGAAATTTATCGAATAGATGATGACAAGTAAGTACCAAAATTTAATATGAATATCACAAATACTAAGAATGGTGTCTTTTTTATAGTGAAACTCTCTTGTATTCATCAAATTCAGTTGAAGATGTAGATGAAGTAAATCATATTGGGGAAGAAAATGTAGAAGAGATTCAAGATCAAGACGATAATATAAAAAAAGCAGGTGAATAAATTTCTGTTACATCAAGTGTAGTTTCTTCATTCAGTATTTGTGGTATTCAAAACTACTTTAGTATTACAATAAAAAAACAACCCTTTCAATAAAATTATTTTTTAGAATGGACTGAGGCTGAAACTAAACTGCTACTGGATTTATATGAAGAAAATATATCCCGGGTAGGGCCAATGAAGAAGTATAAAAATAAAAAGAATATGTGGCAGGATGTCTCTAATATAATAAATAAAACAATTAAAATCAACAGAACAGCATTACAGGTAGAAAATCGTTATAAAACTGTTTTAAAAAGAAAAAAGGTAGCTGTAGAAAATAATATCAAGACGGGCTCATTACGTCAAATTGTACCTTATGAGTTTGAATTAAACAAAATTGGTGCACTGGATGACAGTATTGAGCCAGAGGTATTGGGTAGTGCCTCTGGAATTAGAATTTTAAAACCCATTCATAATATGCCTGTTGATGCAGAGAGCCTTCCCAGCACATCAAAGCAAGAAACATCGATTTCATATAATAGAAAAAGACCTGTTCTGAAACTTAAAAAAAGGGACACATTATCACAAACATTAACATTAATCCACAAAGAAAAGGAAGAATCGAGAGAAAGGCGCCACAAGGAGAAGCTCGAGCTGCTTAAGGAGTTATTTAAAAAATGATGAAGAGGGTGTTATTTTTATACTTTTGTTTTTTATTTTATAGTACAACTTTTTTTTTTATTTATTAGAAATTCCAGAGTACGTTTTTTTAATTTTAAGAATATGTTGATACAGGGTTCTGAAATTTGTGATAATTCCCCGCCACATCCTGTATTTTTTGTAATAAATAAAATGTTTTATATTTAAAAAGTATTTTATTTATCAAACTTAAAATTGTACAAAACACATTCTGATGAATTTATTACGTGTAATGAAGATAATCCCTTAGCCTATTGCGTTTTTCCTCTCCTAATCGTTTTAATCGCCATTCCGAATCAGTTTCTGTGGCAAAACCATTATCACTATTGTCATTAACCATTTCATCTTCCTCCAAGGTATCCTTATTATCAATGCAAATATTATGCAGTATGCAACATGAAATTATGAATTGCGTCATTTTTGGGACATTATGCATATCCAATTAGAGCAATTGTCTAAAACGGCCCTTCAAAATTCCAAATGAATTCTCAATTAACACCCTTGTTGAGCTGAGTTTCCTATTGAATTGCTGCTCCCTTTCGGTAAGATTTCCATAGTCCCTGTATGGAACAAGCAACCATTCCCTGATTGGGTAACCATTATCCCCTAGTAAGTGGTAACGGTTCTGACATAATTCAGGGAGAGCATTAGATATATATGATAATTTCAGTACCCGTGAATCATGAATTTTTCCTGGGATTCCAGTGAAAATGTCGATGAAACGTCTATTATAGTCACAAATGGCCTGTAAATTAATTGATGGAATGTCATGCCTGTTTACATATGTAGATTTCAGTTTGTAAGCTGGTGTTCTGATTCTAATAGACGTTCCATCTATACACCCTAAAATTCCAGGAAATCCAGATACCTGCAAAAAAATAATATAATTAAATTGGGTACCTATATTCTCACTAATTATCAGATATTGTATGTATATAAAGTGGACATCCATCTTAGGAACCCAGTGAGAAGATATGCTGTTTTTAATAACAACTTTGCAGAAAATTTAATCGATTTTGAAAGGTCTGTGATAAATTTAATTATAAACCACAATAAATCTTTGGCACACAGAATGTTTAGTTTCTTTTTGAAAACAATGTACTTACATGTTGGAATTCAGCAGCCATTTGTTGCTTTTCCTCATCACTGTTTGGCATTTTGATTATTGAGGAACCTATGCTCAACAGGAAATCCATTACCCTTTGGTTAACCCTTACAAGGGAAGAAATGGTCATTCCAAAACGTTCTGCAGTGTCACGAAGAGAGCACTTGTTACCTGCAAACCTATTTAAAAATAATACATATAAAATAATATGAATCATTATCCTTACCATAAAAAAGAAAGTATGTGGCTTGTGGCACTGATCTGTGGTCTGCCTCCATGATTGGTACTTTTAGGAAAAAATGTTGAATTTTCAAATTTTTTTATCAGCATATCTGCAGTTTCTGGGAAAAGTCTGAAGTGACCTTTAAACTAAAAGAAATAAAACCCTGAAGATTTACCTAATTCTGAACAGATCATACTTTCTCACCTGCTTTTCGTTCATTTCATTTACAACATCACTAATGTAGTTTCTAATTTTTGGCACAGATGTTCGTTTTTGAATTATTTCCTCTAAAATCTCCAAATCACTATCATCCGAAGATGACGATGATAATAAAAAATAACTCAGCATATTGCTGTTTTGTTTTTCCAATTCGCACCTCTCATCATTCCCCGCCATTTTTATTGTTTTGCACTATATCGACACCACCTCCTGGAGCAGGTGCGGAAAAAATTGCACTCAGTGCAACTTTAATTGCACTAGTTTTCCAATGGAATACGAAAAACTGATGCAGTGCGACCAATGGAACACAAATTTTGCACTCAATGCACCCTAGTTTTGCCAATGGAAAACGCTATGAGACTGAATAGAAAACCGATGTGTTTGGCGTTGTCCACGATTACAGAATTAACAAATCAAAAAAGGAGGAGGTTCTCAATTCGTCGCGATATTTTTTTTATGTATGTTCAGCGATAATTCTTTAACACGGTGTCCGATTTCAATAATTCTATTTTTGTTAGAAAGGGGGTACTTCAGGGGTGGTTCCTTATAAATTTGGTCAAAATCTAATAATTGGGTCCATGACAAAATCCTCAAACTCTTCATTTTTTATGTATGTTTAGCGATAATGCTTTACCACCTTGTCCGATTCATATGATTCTTTTTTTTGTTAGTAAGGGGGTACCTCAGGGCTGCCGTCCTATGAAAGACCCCCGTATCTCCAGAAAACATTATTTCGAGAAAAACGCAGTTTAAAATGTGTTGTTTGGGCGCAAAGCTATATACGGGGAAATAATTGTCTATGATAAAATTAGGAAATAATTATCATATACATAAATAATTGGATAATTGCAAATAAGTAAAGTTCTTTTTAGCTAAATGATTTTAGATTTTAGTTATATTTAAATTAATAAAATCTTAAAATATTTGTCCTTGTTTAGTTAATATCCATTGTTGCAATTTAGATCTATAAAGAACTATCGAATTTAGGTTTTTACATTCCACCGGAAGTGCGTTAAATATTTTAGGACCGAGGTATAAAACAGTATTAGATTCGAAAGCAAATATAATTAATATCACAGTATAACACTGACAGTGATTCGTATCCGTGATCCGAAAAAAAGGATTCGAATCACTTAATTCGAATCCTTTTTTTTTTTTGAAAAAGGATTTGAACATTGGATCCTTGATTCGAATCACATCTCGTGATTCGGATTCGTGATTCGAATCCATTTTTCGAGGATTCGTCCCAGCTCTGCAAGAGTAAAGTACCCTTTTGCACGAGCAGAATCAATAGTTACTCCTGCAAAAAAAGTAACATAATTTGTACCACTAAAATATGAAATTTCAGATTTTGTACCCCTGCCGTTCCTATAGAAATTAACCTAAATTCATATTAGGCTCAGGAGTAAAGTACCCTTTTGCACGAGCAGAATCAGTAGTTACTCCTGCAATGAAAGTAACATAATTTGTACCACTAAAATATAAAATTTCAGATTTTGTACCCCTGCCGTTCCTATAAAAATTAACCTAAATTCATATTAGGATCAAGAGTGAAGTACCCTTTTGCAGGAGCAGAATCAGTAGATACTCCTGCTATGAAAGAAACATAACTTGTACCATTAAAATATGAAATTTCAGATTTTGTACCCCTGCCGTTCCTATAGAAATTAACCTAAGTTCATATTAGGATCAAGAGTAAAGTACCCTTTTGCACGAGCAGAATCAGTAGTTACTCCTGCTATGAGAGTAACATAATTTGTACCATTAAAATATGAAATTTTAGATTTTGTACCCCTGCCGTTCCTATAGAAATTAACCTAAATTCATATTAGGCTCAAAAGTAAAGTACCCTTTTGCACGAGCAGAATCAGTAGTTACTCCTGCTATGAGAGTAACATAATTTGTACCATTAAAATATGAAATTTCAGATTTTGTACCCCTGCCGTTCCTATAGAAATTAACCTAAATTCATATTAGGCTCAAGAGTAAAGTACCCTTTTGCACGAGCAGAATCAGTAGTTACTCCTGCAATGAAAGTTACACAATTTGTACCACTATAATATGAAATTTTAGATTTTGTACCCCTGCCGTTCCTATAGAAATTAACCTAAATTCATATTGGGCTCAAGAGTAAAGTACCCGTTTGCACAAGCAGAATCAGTAGTTACTCCTGCAATGAAAGTAACATAATTTGTATCACTAAAATATGAAATTTCAGATTTTGTACCCCTGCCGTTCCTATAGAAATTAACCTAAATTCATATTAGGCTCAGGAGTAAAGTACTCTTTTGCACGAGCAGAATCAGTAGTTACTCCTGCAATGAAAGTTACATAATTTGTACCACTAAAATATGAAATTTCAGATTTTGTACCCCTACCGTTCCTATAGAAATTAACCTAAATTCATATTAGGCTCAAGATAAAAGTACCCTTTTGCACGAGCAGAATCAGTAGTTACTCCTGCAATAAAAGTAACATAATTTGTAATACTAAAATATGAAATTTCAGATTTTGTACCCCTGCCGTTCAGGGTACTTTATCTTGAGCCTAATATGAATTTAGGTTAATTTCAACAAAATCCGCCCAGCATATTTCATTTTTTTTTTTATTCAAAATAAACACTATGCTCCTCGAATTTCAACAATATCCGTCCAGCATTTTCAATTTATATATTTTTTACTTTCCTATCTGTATACGCATATAAGGAAAGTATAGGAATCATGATTTTTTTCGACCTCCAGTTTTCGACGGATTTTTACGTTTTGGGATCCCCTGAATCCGTTTTGACTATTTTCGGGATGATGTCTGTGTGTGTGTCTGTCTGTGTGTCTGTATCCACCCTAACTCATGAACTAATACAAAGAAAAACACCAAATTTTAAACTTAAGCTTTATTCAATAATATGAATGCTATGTGAAATTACGTCAGGTATGTGAAGATTTCGTGTCTTTATATAATTTACTAACATTTCTCATGTAATGTGGTTAAATAAAATCTATCATATGTTATTTCTCTATTTTCTTTTATTTTAGTCTAATTATGTTTCCATTGGGAAAAATCAGGATATTAAAACATATTATTAAAAATTTGGACAAATATGTGTTGAAGATTAAAATTGACTATGGATATGATGATGCAACTGCCACTTTTGTTACTTTTAGAGAGTGCATTTTGTTACACAAGGAAATAATTAAGTAAGTCGCAGGTAATTATTACAAAAGTATTATAGTGGCGACGATTTGTTCCAAACATTATAAAAACCAGTATTTAATTCAATCATCTCAAATTAAATGGTTAATAGGGTTAATCAGTGGCGGCTCGCTAGATGACGCAAGTGACGCTCTGTGTCACCAAAATTTCAGTAGAAATTAATAAGAAAATCAACTGAATAGCTAAATATTTCTTTTTCTGTAACAAAATGCCCTGCGTTTTTGTCTCTATAGAAATTACAATACAGAAACCTCCAAAACAAAAAAATAAATAAGTAGAATTTTTTTGGGTTTTATTTTCAACGCGTCACCTAAATTTAAACCCACAAGCCGCCACTGCATATGTTGTGGGTAAGCTGTGTTATTACTATCTTAATCCGGGTTACAACTCGAACGGCGGGTAATGACTCGCACCGTTCAATTCAATGTGTCGCCTCAAGGATTAAATTAATGTAACATTCGATGACACAAAAAGAAAACATGCGCTATATCTCCTAATTTTGTACTCATTGCTTTTTAGGTATATAGATGATTATAATTTGGTATTGAGCAATGTATCACTAATGGATTATTTACAAAGCTCGCTGGAGCTGGCTACAATAATTTTGCAAATTAATTCAGTAAGAATCTTTCTATTATTAATTTAATTGCATGATAATATTTTTTTACAGGTTATTTTTCATAACTAATTCTGGTCTAAATTGAAAATAGCGTCGTCATCTTATATACCAGGAAAAATTCATAGTGAATATTTTTTTTATAGACTAGACTAGTAAATTTTCTCTTACTGTTGGAAAATGAGTAGAAAATTTGGTGATTCAAAGGTTTTTGTAATAAAAAGCAATTTTTAAAGAATGACAACTTTATTTTTATTCGATCATTAATTTCATAATTTATATTACTATAACAACATAGTATGTACATACCTTGTACATACTTATGTTGTTATAGTAATAAGAGTTATGAAATTGATTATCGAATAAAAAATAAAGTTGTCATTTGTTACGTTAAATTAATTTTAAATTAATTTCAAATTTATTTTTAACAACAACTTCTCCATAACCCCTCGTAACACAACTTAAACGACGACCACTGCTCCTTCGCTTATCGATTTTTACAAAGCACCCTTTGCGCACGGTCTGCGCACAGTCCATAGAGTTTCTTTGGGCAACCAGTCCTCATAAAACCGATTAGTTTGAATTTAACCGGTCTTTTTGGTGTTCGAATTCAACGTGCTAGCTGTACCGATAAATGTATTAAAATTAGTTGCTAGTAATTATCTGTCTTTTATGTGTTTATTGTGTGTTAACGTTGGGATAATTGTCAGGTAAATGTTTTGTTTATTCACATTTTGCTAGATTTCGTTGGAAAACCGAAAAAATCGGTCATTTGCTTTTTTTTTATCACCACCATGCCGACGAATGCCGGTTTCTTATTACTGCTTTATTTTATTTTATATAGATTATAACTACCCTAAAATAATATTTTTAAGCTTTCTTATGCATAAATATAAATGTGTTATCATTGAATTACTTTGATACATACGCGGGGACGACACTGAAGCTAGCGGCCTAGGGCACACAGCGGCCAGCAAAAAAAGCAGTGACGTAAAATTTGATCGACTCCGTAAAAAAGTCTGAACGTGAATATTTGGACTTTTCACGGTCCAGATTTTTTCTAGATTCCCACGAGAATTAAAATAAATCAAATTCCCGAGGAGAGAAGGCCAAGGATCGGAAAAAGGACATGAAATCCTTAGTAAAATTTCATCTTCTTCGTAAAAAAATCTGAACGTGAATATTCGGACTATTTTCGGTCCAGATTTTTTCTAGAGGCCCTAAATACACAAATAAATTAAATTAGCGAGGAAAAGAGGCCAAGGATCGAGTCGAAGGTCATGGTATCCTTAGTAAAATTTCATCTTCTTCGTAAAAAAATCTGAACGTGAATATTCGGACTATTTTCGGTCCAGATTTTTTCTAGACGCCCTCAAATACACAAATAAATTAAATTAGCGAGGAGAGGAGGCAAAGGATCGGAAAAAAGGACATTTAATCCTTAATAAAATTTAATCGACTCCGTAAAAAAACTGAACGTGAATTTTGCATTTTTCACGGACCAGATACTTTTACACAAGGTACTGAGGTTCTTTTTACTTCTAAACCTGTAGTGGCTCCTCCAAGAAGCTTTAAGAAGCTCCAGGCTCCTCCAATAAGCTTTAAGAAGCTCCAAGTTCTTCCAAGAAGCTTAAGATCCTCCAAGAAGCTCTAAGAAGCTCCAGGCTCCTCCAGTAAGCTTTAAACGGCTCCAGGAAGCTTTAAGATCTAAGCTCTGAGAAATAGGAAGTACTGAGTACGTAGTTTTACTCCAGGAAGCTCTAAAATCCCAGCTCTAAGAAACAAGAAGTTTCTTCAATTTCCGAGCTCCAAGCCCCAAGTATCGAAGTAGCTAAAGGCGGATTGTCCACGACAAGACATACAAAAGGGAAGTACCGTACTTACCCTACTAGAGAATGTCACATGGTCGGAACAATTAATATTTTAAGTACTTAACAGTAAATTTTATTCATTCTTATTATATGTAAAATTTCACTCTTTTACTTTTTTTTATTAAATGTATTCAATTTTCTCACTTTCTTTTATTTGCCAGAACTCATATAGATAACTTTAAGTACCAGAGACTGACTTAATTAAACAGGACATATCAAATCAAATAAGTTTTCCAAGTTACTCAAAAACTTGGTGGCGCTCAACATTTTTTTGTCGTTATCGTATTGTAATATCTCTCATTTTATCGTAAAGTAGACTTTGGCCCGCGAACCGGTCAAGCTACTCTGATTTCATTTGTCCTGGTAAATTTATGAATCCACGCAGTATCTGCAATTTGAGCTAAATCACCTCTTAAGTACAATTTACATTGTAGAAATGTAAAAAGAAAGTAACACATTCTTTAAAAATCGATTTTTATTACAAAAAACTTTGTGCATATGCTCCGACGCATTATTTTCTCCTTATGGTTTTATTTTTGATGTGTGGAATTGGCTTTCTATACTATTTCTGACTATTTGCGTGTATTCTTTTTATACTCTTTGGGGCACAATGTGTACTGGTGTACCAAATCGTTCTAGCGGTTTTACCTATATAAAAAAAAGGAATATTTTAAGAAAGTTATTCTTTAATACTAGTTTATGTTTTAGGGAAATTCCTTTTATACTTTATTTTTTGTTGCTACATGTGCAACATGTATAATATGCAGAACTTTCATATTTTACTGGTATGCAGATCAACTTACTTTAGAGGTAAGAAATTAGAGATATTATTTTTAGAGCACGTCTTCATGATGTTATTAAAGTTTGTAAATCTTAAATATATATAATCACAACACTATAAATTATTTTATCGCAAAATACAGCAAATTGACACTGTCAGAAATTATTATAGATTGTTTCAACTTAGCTTAAATCCCATATAAAAACATTCAGCACCAAAAATTACGTACTTAAAAAAAACACCAGAGGTCGTTAAAAAGTGAGATACCCTTTAACCATTATAAAAGCATTAATGTTTCGTGTTATAACATCGACATTTATCTAACCTCTATATCTGCCATTGGATGATTGGTCAATCATTTGACAGGTTATTATGCTAATGTTCACAAAATATTATAGGTGTATATAAAAACAAAAAGTACGTATCTAAAATAAGCCTAGTTCTAAAAAACAACATTAAAAAACCACATTAACTTCAGATCATGAGCCAGTGTACTCGGAAATATGGACCACAAACAAAATACAAAGACAACAAAAATGATACTACGATTACATTACAACAAACTGGATACAATTAGACAACACAGTAATAAATAACAACATTTAAACAGTTAAAAATGAAACCAAACTTTTATTAAACAACGTAGGAAGCAGTGTTGCCAGAATATATTTTTGTAATGTACCAGATTTGTCTAAAAAATGTACCAGATTACATAAAAATGTACTAGATTCTATAAAATTGCCAAATTTTCTAATTGTTAAGGGTGGTCATTAAAGAACAAAAAAAAAAGGTTTATAGAGAACACGAACACAACAATTTTAAACAATATTTTATCTCTCGACAAATTTCTGACACTATTTTATATCTCGAGCAATTTTTGAAAAAGATTTTAATAACTTATGATACTATTTTATCTCTCGAACAGTTTATAAACCTTTTTCTCTTGAGCAATTTTTAAACAATATTTTATCTCTCGATAAATTTCAAACAGTATTCTATCTCTCGAACAATTTTTAACAACTTTTTTTATCCCTGGAGCAATGTTTTTACAATATTTTTTGTACAATTTTTAACACTATTTAATCACTCGAGCAATTTTAAATAGCCTTTTTACCTCTCATGCTATTTTTGAAAAATATTTGATCTCTCGTGCAATTTTTGAGCAAAATTTTAACAATTTCGAAACACTATTTTATCTCTCGAGCAATTTTTATTAACATTTTTTTATCTTCCTAGCAATTTTTAAACAATGTTTTATCTCTCGAGAAATGTTTATTAGTATTTTTTAATTCTCGAGTAATTTTTGAACAAAATTTTAACAATTCATAATACTATTTTACCTCTCGAACAATTTTTAAACCTTTTTTATCTCTTGAGCTATTTTTAAACAATATTTTATCTTTAGATAAATTTCTAACATTATTCTATCTCTAGAGGAATGTTTAACAACTTTTTTTTATCTTTTTAGCAAACTACACAATATTTTAACTCTCGACAAATTTATAACAATATTTTAACTCTCTATAAATTTTTGACAATGTTTTATGTCTCTAGCGATTTTTAACAACTTTTTTTATCTCTCGAGCAATGTTTGTACAATATTTTATCTCTCGAGTAATTTCTAGTAGTATTTTATCGTTCGAGGAATTTTTAAACCAAATTTTACCTCTCGAGAAATTTCTAACAGTATCTCTCTAGTCAATTTTATTTTATTTTATTTCTCAACAGTATTTTATTCCTCGAGCAATTTTTAAACAAGGTTTTAACATTTTGTAATACTATTTACCTCGAGAAATTTTTGAACACGATTTTATTTATAATAGTATTTAATCTCTCGAACAATTTTTAATTTTTTTTTATCTCTCATTAAATTTTTAACAGTATTTTTATCCTTAAAGCTATTTATGAACAATATTTTACCCCTCAAGCAATTTCTAATACTATTTTATCCTTCGACCAATTTTTAACACCCTTTTTTACCTATCAAGCTATTTTTGAACAATGTTTTATCTTTCGAGAAATGTCTACTATTTCATCTTTGTAGCAATTTTTGACAACTATTTTAATTTCTCTGGTAATTTTTGAACAATATATTTTACACTTCAAATGGAACATACGCTGAAAAAAGTACTAGATTTTGCTTCTAGTGTACTAGAGTACCAGATTCTCAAAGATTGTGCTAGATCTAGTACAATTGTACTAGACTGGCAACACTGGTAGGAAGCAGCCCGTGGCCCAGGTCCCGAGAATAGCGCATCACGCGAAAGAAGCGTTTAATCAGGGCTTACAAACGGTGCTAGTGGCTCTAGACAGCGAGTCTGGAATACAGGAGAACCTCTAGTATATCAAACAATTGGTGTTTAAACGACAGTTTGAATATTTTTTTAGAAAAAATGTCATGTTAGTTTTTATTATTTGTCAATTAATAATAAAAGTTGTATTTTTCATTCGGCTCTGTAGTTTTCCATTTAATATCACCGGGTAGTCCTGTAGTCCTGTAATAATAAATATGTTTGTTTACATTTGACGACCGTGAATCTATGAACTTTCTACTTGGTCGAAAGGTCCAATCTTTAATGAAATTGAAATTAAAAGCATTCTACAGTTACTGGATCAGAAGGTAGAAGTTCTTACTGATTTAGACAAACAAATGTGCCACTTCTCAGTATCAACCGAATCTATCAAAGACGAAATCTAAAATTTAAAGTATCAATATTAGATGAATATGTCATGAAACATTTTAAAGTTAAGTTACTTGCAGATAAATGTTTGCAGAAAGATTCGTAAGATGATGAAAATAGTTTAAACTCTCAATATCCCAGATCAGTTTGTAGTAATAGTCTAAAACTGCCTAAGTTAGAATTTTAAAAATTTGGATTGGGTTAGTTGGTGGGGTCAATAAAAGAATTATTGATGATGATTCCAAGGAAAATGAGGATAAATATTACTATCTAATCCAAGCAACTAATCCAAAATTTCGAGCACGATGTATCAATAAAAGTTATCCAACTTCTGCAGAAAATTATCCAAAAGCTATTGAAAGCTTAAAATGAAGATTTGGAAGGGAAGATTTTCTCACTGAAATTTACATACGTGAATTGCTTAGATTAGTAATACTCAATCAATAATAAAACAAAATTAAGTTTCCTATACGAGAATATTTAATGACAATTGAGATCTTTGGAAACATTGAATATATCTTCTAAAACATATTCTGCAATGCTATTTTCACTAATAGAATTCTGTTTATCAGAAAAACTGAGATAAGAGTTTGGCAGAGAAGTCCAGAATAGAATGACGAGTCCAGTTTAAAAGACCTTTTGGATATGCTAATGAAATTTCTAGAGAAGGACGTAAATAGAGAAGAGAAAATTGAACTTGCTACATCTGGTTTCGATACTCAAAAGTCCAGAAAAACCGCAATTAGTTTTACTCGTAATAAAAGTATAATAATTCCAACTGCTTCTGGTTCATTTAAGGTGATTACAGCACCCCCTTATAATTTTCAAACAAGGATATCTCAAAAAGTAATTTTTTTAAAAAATTAAAATTTTGGCAAAATATATTAGGCAATAATATCTAGAACATGTATATATTTTAAAATTTTAATTCCCTCCAGTTTCCGAGAAAAAAAATCAAAGGGCTTTAAATTTTAAAATATCATAATGAAAATGCATTCCTCAACAGCACTATTCTTAATATAATCCCTAAATTTAAGCTCTTAATCTTTTGTTAATGATTTTTTAAAATTCGCCGAAATTAGTGGCTAAAACGCCTTGTTAAGTACTATTTTCTGGTTTAAACTGGTGTAAACTAGTGTAAATCATTGCAAGAAACGAATGATGACTCAGAGTGTACGATACGATAGTTACAGACGCGTTACACTAGAAAGAAGCACTTAACGAGGCGTTTTAGCCACTAATTTCGGCGAATTTTAAAAAATCATAAACAAGAGATTAAGAGCTTAAATTTGGGGATTATATTAAGAATACTGCTGTTGAGGAATGCATTTATTTTCATTATGATATTTCAAAATTTAAAGCCCTTTGATTTTTTTTATCGGAAACTGGAAGGAATTAGAACTTTAAAAAATATGCGTATTCTAGATATTATTGCCTAATTTATTTTGTCCAAATTTATATTTTCTAAAAAAATTACTTTTTGAGATATCCTTGTCCGAAAATTATAAGGGGGTGCTGTAATCACCTTAATAAAATTAAGAAAATATGCAAGAAATTGCATATTTTCTTAATTTTATTAAGGTGATTTACAGAAATGTAACGTTTACCATTCTTCAGAAGACTGCGAAAAGGCGAAAACCTGGCCACTAACTCAAAAAAGAAAAATTAAAAAATAAAGGTTCTCATTTATGCTTAAGAGTTGGGCATATTTCGAAAAAATGCAGATTCTATAATATGAGCCAATTAGAAACGAAACAATCATACATTCTTTGTTTGGAGGTACAAATACCCAAGAAATAAACCGTTTTTGTTATCGCATAAGAGTTAATAATCAAAACTTCGTCAAATTAGTACTTATTTGTTTCAATGTCAATTTGCTCAACAATTTCATTATTGTAGATAAAATATACCCTATTTTAAAAAACTAAAATTGAGTGACAGTTGACCGACATTATTTGTTTTCATTTAGTACAACATTTTTTAACCACTTCTGGTGTATTTCCTAATAATATGCACAAATGCCAATATTAGGTTAAATAGGGGCAGTTACTCCTATTAGGAGGCCTGATGAAAATTTATGTTTTCCTGTGTAAGTCCCTGTGCTATTTGATTTTCTTTAAATTCGTTTCTCGATATGTTTTGGTATTAGGAAAAGGTAATATGAGAAGATGCTTCTGCGCACAGGTGGTTGTTGATATTATTTTGTCTGCGTTTTTGAGCCGCACTTGGAATGATCACAATAAAGGCGCTGATTTGTGATTATTACCATGGTATGGATTTCGAGTGTTTTAGGTTACTTGAAATTAAATAGAGACTTTCTGTTATTTTAACTTTTCAGAAAGATACTGTTCAGTGGTTGTAGGTGTGGTTTGTGAAAAGCTTGATTTATTGTGAATTGTGGGAGATAGATTTACAGGTGAGATTTATCACTGAGTGTCCTTTTTCTTTAGTATTTGAGTTTTAGATAAATACCTTTAATATTTTTTGATATTTAATTATTGATTAGATTACTGTTTTAATAATTATTCGTGCGCACATAAAAATTATATCTGGAGCAAACAATCGCGCGTTTAATCCCTTTTGTTCATTGCGCTGCTCTGAATTCGACCTTCGGGGTCAAGCTCTAGTAGGTGGAGCGAGTATGTGGCGCGTTTAATCCCTTCATACTCATTGCACAGCTCAGTACTAGTAGAAATGTGAGGCGTATCGCGTGTCGAATTCCTTTATGCCAAAAGGGTAGTAACTAGGCAGTGGTCCCGTCGCGTGTTATATCCCTTCGTGACCACATTTCATACTCCTAAGTACTATGTTTAAAAAAAAATGAAATAGACAAAACAGTAATAAGTACATTGCGTGTCGAATCCCTTTAATAATTGTAAAGATAATAATTAATTGTTGAAATAATAGTAAAGATGATAAATAATCACAGACACTCACGAATATTTTCTTCTTTATAGGAAAACCCGAGTATGGACAGCGCCTCGACCATCAATTAAAACATCCTAACCCTTGTTATTTTTTTTATTGTTTGATAATTATATAAACATTTATTAATTTGTCTTTTGACCTTTGTTTACTAGATTAAAGTTTTATCTTTATCTAAACATATCTCTCTTTCTATCTCTCTCTTCCTTCTTTTTCATCTTCTTACACCTGTAAGTTTCTACTATTCATAGAACTATTTTTAAAAATTAATCTTTAAACGACAACCATTTCTTTCTTGGTCAAATAATATTATGTTAATATTTAAGTGCAGTTTACCCCTAATTAAATTTTAACATACTATACCTAATAAACTGCACCAATAATCATTCGGTAATATTTAGAATTTTTTAAGCTAGATATTGAGTACATACCGGTTATTATTGTTTCGTAGGCATCCGATATTGCACGAGCTCTATTTGAAAGTAATTGGTATGAACAAACGAAAGTGGTAAAACAAATGGTTAGCATTATGCTAATGAGATGTAACAGAGAAGTCGCATTATATATTGGACCATTTGATAAAATGTCTCTGAGAACTTTTTTAGCGGTAAGTAAAATAGTTATTGTTTATCAGCAAGTTGAAAATATTGGTATATTAATTTGTAGAAAGGGACAATCAAACTTATTATTTGTAATAAACACAATATTGTTCTATGATAACAACGATTATCCCTTTCTTTTTACTTTCCCGTCTATATACAGATACAGAAATGTGTACGGTGATGTCTACGTGTCTATCAGTCCGTTGCGTTTGCGTTTACTTTCGCGTTTGCGTTTGCTTTCGCGTTTGCGTTTTCTTCCGCGTTTGCATTTGCGTATGCGTTTAAAAAAAGCTTTAATTTCTTTAAAAAAAAATCGATAAATTGCTGGATCTGCGCAGGGTTCAGCTGGAATGATGTTGGTCCAACAAAATCCAGCTAGATTGAAAATGCTGCTAGATTTAAAATTTTTTACTTTGGATAGTGATCGTAAAAAAAATGAAAAATAAGTATCTATACAACACACATTATTTCAGAAATATTTCAAACGTTTCAAACATAACATTTCAAGCACAAGTTTTTGAAATATTTTAGATAAATATTTCACTAAAAATGTTTATGAAACATGTTATAAATGTTACACAAAAGGTTACTAAACGGTTTATGTTGTAAAAGGCCCAACAATTAATGAAGGATTTCCGATTTGTAAGAAGATGGGATGTAGTTATTTTATTTTATCGTGTCCCTGTCTAGCCACCAGCTAGAAACAAGCCTATATTCTAAATATATAATTATAGATTTGAGTTATTGGTTTTTGATATTCATGCATTGTGAACTTGTTATATGGGAAGCAGTACATGTCTTTAGAAATGAAGGTGAGAACTACATAAATAATGCTTGTTTAGGTGGATCTTCATGTTTTGTTTAGACATGAGTATTGTCTTATTATAGTTAATTTAAAACAATATTAATAAAACTATTTTTAATCAAATAATTTGTATAAATCCTTTTTAATTACCTATATTTTGTTTCAGATTAGTGCATTTTAAGAAATTGGAGGAAATGAAGTAATTTGCCAGCTTTGGGGCTGTGCCAGTAAAAATAACATCCAAGTTATTCAACGTTTCCAGAATAAAGTATTAAGGAACTTCGTCGACGCATCCTGATATTGCTGTAATACTGGTCTTCATAGGGACCTTAAAGTGGAGGTTGTTGAAAATACAAAACAAAAATTTTTCCAGTAGTTACCAACAATGACTGCTCCAACATGGAAACCTAGAGATTATTCAGCTCCTCAATAATCTAATAAGAAGACTCCAGAGAACCAGGCCTTTTGAGTTAGTTCAGTGATGTTAGATTAAAACAGAGTATAGTGTGGTTAAGTGTTATACGTTAACGGCAGTGTAACTAAATAATTAGACTCTAAAGTACACTATATAGTGAGTAGAATCTTAGTTTATGAAGTTTTTCATCCCCAGATAAGTTAGGTAAAAATAAAATTGCTAATTGATCCTAATGATTAGATTATAATAATCGTAAATGTTTCTTTACTTGGAACATTTACTAAAAAAAACTAGTTGTTTCAAATTAGTGCATTTAAAGGAATTGGTGGATATAAAGCAATTTACTTCTATAGTCTATGAAATATTCTTTAAAACATATTTATTTGTTTTTTTAAAAATCAATGTTTAAATTTTTGTGTATTTTAAATAAACATGTATATTTTTAAATGTCTTTTTTTAGTCTAATATATTATAAAGAAAACTAGAATACATTTCTGAAATATTACTATTTAATATTTCTAAAAGATTTCTAAATTTTATTTCAGAAATGTTACTGTGAAATATTATATTTAGAGGACATTTTTACGTTTCAGGCATATTTCAGAAATGTTTCTGGGATGTTTATATTTCCGAAATGTGTTTGTGCTGTATGGGTAATAATATAAATATTTTTTTTTTCAGGTAATTAAAGGAACTTATTCGTTTGTGGCCATGCTACATACCTTATCTTAAATAATTATTGAAATGGTATTGACTTGAATTTAATGATTATGACTAAAATTAACGCTTTTAACCTAGAAATATTTACTCAATAATAATTGCAACTATTTAAATTATTGAAATGTAAAATAGAGTATAGGTAAGCAAAAAAGTATTTTTATTAAATCCTTCGATTCAACCTTACTTACCTATTTACAAAACTGCACCCAAAATTAGTTAAGGTCACCATTTCAGTGTATTTTACGTGATGAAAACAGAGGTTTACAATTATTTACAGAACTTATTGTGATGTTTGTTTATTTTAAAACAAGCATTTATTTATTAATAATTTATTTAAACACATTTATTTTAGAACAATACTATTCTAATTTATATATTTCGAATGTCTTTGAATCGTTCACTATTTATATTCACAGTCCAATACTTTATTTATCACTGATTCCTGCGTTGTTCCTCCACCAATATTTATATACAAATTTAAAACTTTGGCGAAGGTACTAGAATTTTCACCAATTCTCACCAATACTAGAAACATTATCACGTTGACTCTGGATAGATCTCGAAAGTGTATCCGCCATAGTCGTCACATATGTTTGATTTTAAGGGGTTTTATTATGTATGATAATCGGAAATAATAATAATAATCATACACATACATATACAAAATAAATACAAATAATACATATTTAACAAATACTTACTTGGAGCAAATAGGTATACAATCTCAAATCTTTAAAATATCAATATATTGAAATGTGAAGTAGAAACTAGGATATAACATTTTATTAACACTAAAGTTTTATATTTTATATGTCTTTTTACCTAAAGAATAAATATGTAATATAGATATTGGATTAAAAGGTGAATCCTCTCTGTATCTGTAACGTGTGTGGAGGGTGGGTTACCCCCACGGCACTTATGTCTCATTAGGCCCATTGTTCATCCTCCTAAGATGATAGGCACCTCCTAGCTCGTGAGCCAGGAAGGTGAATCCTTTTAACTATTCATTCACTGATAAATATTTTCTTTCCAAATACAGATGGTATACTTTCTTATGTGAAAAATGACTTCGGAATCTAGACCAGTGATAAATTGATTACCCGTTTGTCTTTTTATGATACATGGTAAATCAATGAAGTTTTTCTCGAAGTTTTCAATGTGTAGTACCAAAATTATTGCAAAACAGTAGGAAATAGAAAAGCAAAACATCACAATTTTGCAAATAATTAAGACAAAACTATAAACAGAAACCAAAAGCCAAAGCCAACAAAAAAATCACTAAAATCAGACGGAAAAATGAGACTAACCAAAAATTTAAATAAATACACGCCACATCTTTGGATTCTTTTGTTGTCTTTCGTCCATAAAAACTAAAAATGGAGTATGAAATAATAATTTCACCAGTAGCCCCATCTAGAGTTTGGAGTCAATAGCATAAGAAATGTCAGTTGTCGGTTTTGACCTTGGTCATTCACGTGGAACCTCTATCATTGTATAAAGAACTAACCTCTATGTGCTTTGTGGTTGTGATCGGACAGAATTAAACACTGGTCCATAAATACTGCAAAACGATTGGTTAAGGAAATCATTCAAAAAACATGTAAGAATATTCTTGATTCAACAAAAGTATAAATACATAAACAACACTAAAAAACATTTAAAAACAAATGTCCGATTTTGAGATTATATCTAAATTTCTCAAAAATATATTGGATTGAAGATGGCCATAATTCGTGAAATGCAATACTGGTGCCATCTATCAGCAGATAGTTACACTATCGAGTTGCACATATTACTTGTAGAGGCCAAAACTTGATTTTAAATTAACGCACTTTTCTCTCACGCTCATGGAGAAACGATTATTACTCACGTTCAGGCCTCGCAACGAAATGGAGACAGGCGTAACAAAAAAGCTACAAAAAAGTTACGAAAAACCAGCTATGTCTGAATCTGTGCCGCTACTATGGAATTTATGGAAATTCAAGCTAGCGGATCCGCTGTTTTTCGGACCTGGGCAAAGCTACAAATTCGCAAATAGCGTAACAAAAAAGCTACAAAAAAGCTACAAAAAACCCCATCAGGTCTTGTATGGTGCCGCCACAGAGTGCCCGCTAGCTTGATATAGCCACAAAAAAGCTACAAAAAAGTTACGAAAAATCAGCTAGGTCTGAATCTGTGCCGCTACTATGGAAATTTAAGCTAGCGGATCCGCTGTTTTTTCGGACCTGGGCTAAGCTACAAATTCGCAAATAGCGTAACAAAAAGCTACAAAAAACCCACCAGGTCTTGTGTGGTGCCGCCACAGAGTGCCCGCTAGCTTGATATAGCCATGAACGTGGGTCACATTAGTGTTAGTTACATCCAATGAACTGGAGTGGGGTAGAAAGACAATGTGCATATTTGCTGCGTTTGAGAATCCACATCGGATGCATTTTTTACATCTCGAGCGTTTTTTTATTCACATCGGACACATCTGTCCCATTACATTTACGTATGCTGAGTCACGTGATCAAAGATTTTTTACATCTCAGATGCATCCGATGTGGATTCTTAAACGCGGCAATTGTATCAATAGAACAAGATGCGACTCTATGGTCGCAGCCATTTTTATTTCTCATCTCACTCGGGAGTACTTATAATAACCATTTTCTGTTTCACATTGTTATTGTTCAATCCACAAGCTGGTGGATCAGACAATAACAAATTGAAATAGAAAATGGTTGTTATAAATACTCCCGAGTGAGATGAAAAATAACCTGTCTTCGCCCATAGAGTCGCATCTCAAGCCTATTGACAAGTATTCTACAGCTATATCAAGCTAGCGGGCACTCTGTGGCGACACCTTACAAGACCTGGTGGGTTTTTTGTAGCTTTTTTGTAGCTTTTTTGTTACGCTATTTGTGAATTTGTAGCTTTGCCCAGGTCCGAAAAAACAGCGGATCCGCTAGCTTGAATTTCCATAAATTCCATAGTAGCGGCACAGATTCAGACCCAGCTGGTTTTTCGTAACTTTTTTGTGGCTTTTTTGTTACGCTAGTCTCCCTTTTGTAGCTTGTACTGAACCTGAGAAAAGCGCGGATCCGCTAGCTTAGCGGATATTTGTAGCGGCACCAGCCCGGACCCGGCTCATTTTTTGTAACTTTTTTGTAGCTTTTTTGTTACGCCTGTCTCGATTTCGTTGCGAGGCCTGAACGTGAGTAATAATCGTTTCTCCATGAGGTGAGAGAAAAGTTCGTTAATTTAAAATCAAGTTTCGGCCTCTACAAGTAATATGTGCAACTCGATAGTGTGACTATGTGTTGATAGATGGCACCAGTATTGCATTTCACCATTGTATTTAGAGAAGATAGTAGAACAACCTTATGGACGTTTCATTGGAGGCAATTTTGTCGCGACATCTGTTAGAAATTCATCAAAATAGCCCGAACGCTAGCACTTCCTCGATCATTGAGTACAGAATTCTATATACATAAAATTTTCTTAATTTTTAAATTCATATGGGTAGAGTTCTAAATTTAAATTACTATTGTTTATATTCTCTAAAATGATAATTAATCGTAAATAAATGTTCAACAAGCATAATTAAACTCGTATATTCCATTTTTAAAACAAATATTCTGAATCGATTATTGACCCATCTATTAGTAAATAGAGAAATTACGTTCGTTTCGAAGACGACAAAATTATCAAAGACATGACTTGGGACACCACGGAGCTTGCTGCCATCTATTGATACTGTCCATTGTCCTCCAAGATAATTTGCATTGGTATTGTTTTACTAGTTGATCTAAAAATACAATGGTTGAATCAAGAATATTCTTACATCTTTTTTGAATGATTTCCTTAACCAATCGTTTTTGCAGTATTTATGGACCAGTGTTTAATTCTGTCGGATCACAACTATACAGTGTGTTCCATCTCAGACGAGCCACCCCGTATATTTCTTATCCCATAGCACAGAGGCCCGCATAGTAATTAGAAAAAATTTCCCGAAACACGTCGGATGATTTTCTTTGGGGGACATCGATCGATCTTTTGACGTATATTTGAGGCTTGAACCAGCAACCCAGACAACACACCAGATCCCAGCAGGGATATCCACAGAATATCTTTTGTGGATATCCAATATATCCACAGGATATCAGAAACATTCCGTGGATCTAATATGGATATCCAAATGTCCGTCTATATCCAGAATATAGAAGATATCATATGGAGCTTGCTGCCATCTATTGATACTGTCCATTGTCCTCCAAGATAATTTGCATTGGTATTGTTTTACTAGTTGATCTAAATACAATGATTTCACGAATTATGGCCATCTTCCATCCAATATATTTTTGAAAAATTTAGATATAATCTTAAAATCGGACATTTGTCCAATATTAATGTAAAATACATATTGGCAAGATTATTAAAATAGTTGTATGCCGGACGCCACTATTTTCCCGATCGGGTGTTTTCGGTTATTTTTAACCGACTTCAAAAAAGGAGGAGGTTCTCAATTCGTCGCGATATTTTTTTTTATGTATGTTCAGCGATAATTCTTTAACACGGTGTCCGATTTCAATGATTATTTTTTTGTTAGGAAGGGGATACTTCAGGGGTGGTCCCATATATTTGGTCAAAATCTAATAATTGGGTCCATGAGAAAATCTTCAAACTCTTCATTTTTTATGTATGTTTAGCGATAATGCTTTTACCACCTTGTCCGATTTATATGATTTTTTTTTTGTTAGTAAGGGGGTACCTCGGGGTGGTCCCATATAAATTTGGAACGTTTTTGAAGTCGGTTTTTTTTAATTTTTAATTTCTAATACTTGTTACTGCTAAAAACTTAAACTTCACACCGGTGGTAATAGCTACCAAGCAATTACCTATTCTCACTATATACAGGGTGTTCCATCTCAGACGAGCCACCCCGTATAGTTCTTATCCCATAGTAATTGGAAAAATTTCCCGAAACACGTCTGATGATTTTCTTTGGGGGACATCTTTTAACGTATATTTGA